ACGGAAACGCGTGGCTCTGACACAAAGAAGACCGAGGAGAAACGAAACTCGATATTTCGAAGAAAGAAGGCCACCGCACTGAGAATAGGACATAGAAGTTGAAGAACTTCTAACCGGAACCTCGGAAGAAATGGAAAGAAAACATGGTCGATCGTCGTCGTCGTCGTCGTAGTCGTCGAGTTACCCTGAAGAAGAAGAAGAGCGTGCAACGGGCATCGGGGCGATGATACAGATTTTCATCGGAGGAAGTCATTGCACTTTATGCTGAATGGGCACCGAGTCAACAACCCGATGTTCACCGTATATACGTGTGTGTACATACACTTAGAAAGGGTTTCTCCCTCCCCCCACCCGGTCTTTTCTCGTGCTCCTCTTCCTGCTTTTCGCGTGATCACAAGAAGAGAACTCTGTGTGTATGACCAAAGAGGAGAAGGAAAGAGAGAAAATACCGAAGAGAAGAGAGGGGTGGGGGAGAGTTGTGAAGAAGATGAAGAGGGAAAAACGAGAGAAGGAAAGGACGAAGAGGAGAGAGAGAAAGAGGGAGAGATCGAAGCAGGGGAGAAAAAGGAGGAGAGAAAAGGGGAGAAAGGAGAGACGAGGAGGTCTGGGAATCGCTTCATGCACTGACGAGCACGAGCCTTCGCGTAATAACGCGATCAGAGGGCAGCCGTGTCTCATGCGTGCACGCACTTCTCGTACCATCACACATGCTCCTCTCTCTCTCTCTCTCTTTCTCTCGTACTCCGGGGGCAAGCACGCGTGCATAAATGCCCGGGCGTAATACGCTCGTAAGCAGCACGAGGCGTTCTATTTTTATGTGTGCTACGTACTGGAGAACACTGTACGGCGTACGTATCGCGAAAATATTCGCGAAAGGGAGGCACGAAGCGGATGAGGTATGGTACAGCCGAAGGAATAGATACGGTGAAGTTTATGAACCACTTATCAACGATACTGATCGTTAAAATGATAATCACTCGTACTATATCAAAGTGTATTCGTAGAACAGTTAAAAAAAAATATCGATACAAGTGTCAACCCTTTTCAAATGAATGCATCCTTAGTCCCTTGGAATTAGTAAACATTAGATAAGAAAAAATTTAAGTGAAATATCGATACAAGTGTCAACCCCTTTCAAATGAATGCATCCTTAGTCCCTTGGAATTAGTAAACATTAGATAAGAAAAAATTTAAGTGGACAGTTTTCGGACTACGTCTGAGCAAGGGTTAAAGCACTCTAACTAACTCGCCACATTTCTTCCCTCGACTATACCTTCGACGCAGCGCCAAATACTACTGGAAGGGTGGTGGTGGTGGTGGTGGTGGGTCTGGTGTCTGAACTCTCGCGAGGTCCGATGGAAAATCGTCGAAACGCGACCGCGAACGCCAGACGAACGTCTGTGTCGTGTGTTAATTAATACGACAGCCAGCACTAGCAGGAATCCGGTTTGACGTATAATGCGCCACTAATTGCGGAAGGGAGAACGTAAGTGTGTGTGCACGCGAGAGAGAGGGAGGAGGTAGAAAAATAAAAAAAATTATAACGAATTCGCTGGCGAAACATAAGCTCCGCGTCTCGCACGAGCGTTCACAATTTTTTTTCTCCTCTCTCTCTCTCTCCGCCGCTACTTCGCGGCACGACCCGTGCACACGCTCGATGCACGCTTTGTGCGACATTTTGCGTTTTCATCGAGGCGTGCGGAAACGAAAAAGCGTAGAAACGACGAGCGTGCAAGGAAGAAAGAGATTACAGGAGGCCACGGCAGTCGTGCTGCTGCACCTGTGCATACGCGCGCGGTTCGTTCGTCACGTGGAAAATGCAGCTATGCCTCTCCCTCCCCCCCTTCCCTCTTCCCCGCTGCCCAGGGAACAATGGATAGGTACCACCATTTCCCGTAGGAGAGGAGAGGGAACCACACGGTGGCTGGCTCGCGAGCTCAGAGAGAAAGAGAGAGGAAAACGAGTTGGACGACCAGTAGAGGAACCTGTACACCGCATTTTCTCCCCTTTCATTTCTGATTTCCTCTTTTTCAACCAGAATTCTACATTCACAGACGACGCAACTTTCTTAACAAACATCGGTGTGAACCGCGCAAAAAAAATACAGCTCCTGTAATTCGTTAAACCCCTCCGAAACAAATTCCCTCGTTCGAGCGACCCCCACTTCCGGTCAGGGGTACTCCGCCACGTTGCGCGCGCGGTTGTGCACGCGGAGGAACAACCGAGGGCATTTTTCTACTGTCACCAACGTGACGGTACTTTTCTCCTCAAAAAAAGTCGAGAAGAGAAACATCGAATTTCGCGTGTCTCTTCTAAATTTTCCAAATTTCGAGGAGAAACGATCGAGAGAGAAAGGTGAGCGCATCGGAACGCAATCTTCCACGTTTGAACGGTCGGTGCTTTTAGTCCCGTCGCGACTAGCCACTCTCGAATAGGAAGAACTCGACTGTAAACAGCAAAGAATGCGACGCGTAGACGAGACCTACACTTGAAACGAGACAGTGCACACAAAGAGGGAT